AGAGAGAGGCGGGTAAACGAAATAAAGTGAAAATACGGTCCTAAAATCACGCCTACAATAAATCAAGGAATAATTATACCCTTAATTTGAATTATGGTATATAAATGGTAATTTGATATGCTTAAATGTAATTAACACAATTCTTAAACAATGAAGGTAATAAGGTTTGGTATATGGTATAGGTATGTAAAAATCCCAATAAATTTCATATGTAGTATAGGAATAGTTGAAGCCCATTTGAACTGCACGGCCTATGCATAAGCCCAAATTCTTTATAGCGGGTCGGATGAAAAGAAAGCAAAAATTGGAACCGCTTTCTGCCTTTAATTCTTATTCTTACAACCCCCCTCTGCCGCTAGGAGAAACCGATTATTCTCAGACCAAAATGGACGCTCTGGACTCTGTTTTCGATCCCCTTAGAGATTTCGCCAAAGACAGCGTTAGGCTTGTTAAGAGGTGCCACAAGCCCGATCGCAAAGGTACTATCTCAGTTTGTGTATTGAATCCATTGATTTGTAATTCTTTAATTTAATTGAATGTTTTGTGCAGAATTCACCAAAGTTGCGACTCGTACTGCAATCGGTTTCGTAGTGATGGGATTTGTAGGATTTTTTGTCAAGTTGATTTTCATTCCTATTAACAACATCATCGTTGGTGCTTCTTAACCGGTAACTCCTACTCTTATGTGGATCTGCTGATACATCTCGTAAATTTCGCTACATCTGTTGAGGAATTACAGGCTTTGATGTTAATTAAGGTTTGTTTCACTGATTTATTAGATTTGACTGCTCTTATGCATATGCGTGCGCTTATACATAGATCAGTTGGTGTAAAATAGGTTTTTATCTTTAACAAGGAAAATGATCCAATTGAGCCTGGTTAATCTGTACTACTATTAAAGATGATATTGAACTTAACAGAGGTGAACCCATGTTTTGCTGTTAATTTTATATAAGTGAACGCAGGTGTTTCTACACATAATAGAAGGAATTTTCGTTGAATGAGGGGCAGTTTCCTTTATGCTTATTTCCAGTTGAATTATGTCTTAAAAGCATATTTTCTAGTGTGGGGATTTCATCATAGCCGAGAGTCTATCGAAAACAGTCTCTCAAGGTAGGGATAAGGCTGCATATATTCTACCTTTCTATACCCCACTTGTGGGATTACACTAGGTTTTTGTTATTGTTGGGGATTTCATCATAAAGGCACAGAATATGTCCAGTTATCTATTGGTTTTCAAGGGCTGCGTAAATTATAGTACTACACAAGTTCGTGAAATATAGTACATGATGATCATTGTTCTTATTTAACCAAGTAATGAATCTTTTGTGTGGATTGCTCCTCGTATTGACAGCTTGTGATGAGCTTTGTTAGATGTTCTCTTGATTATTTAGCTGCTTCTAGAAGTGCTAGTTGATCAGACTTAGGAGTTAGGACAGAAGAATATGAAGAAATAAANGGGAGCGGGATACGTTCCGGATACACTCAACTGACTTCGGACACTTTGACCGGAGTCCTTCGACAAATTTGGGAGAAAAATTGAGATTTTGATTTCTCAAAATCAAAAATAAAACATATTTAGATTTAGGAGAATGAAAGAATAATGTTCATCTTGGAGAATGAAAGATTTAATACTATTCATGTAAGTTTTTCACAAAATATCTCTCAAAATTTACAATATTTTTATAGCTCTATTTTTTATTAGCCGAATCCCCGCACCCGTATCCATATCCTGATCCGCACCCACGAATCTTAAAATTTAGATTTTGCCGAATCCGGTAGTCGGATTCGTCACTGTATCGGATACCCGCACCCGAGTCCGAGCAACTTAGGTTCCTATTATGAAAAGCTCTCATTCTGTTACCTAAAATTCATCCCGTGCTTTGCAATTCTAGGAAGTATGATAATACCTTTGTTGGTATTGTTAAATAAATAAATGAACTTTTCTTTCTGGGTCCCAATTCCATACCTTCGGCCCTCAAAAGAATTTCAATAAGTAGCGGACTCCTCGTCCTCTTCCTTCTTTTTTCCCCTTCCCTTCCCTACGCCCCCACAACCACCATCCGTATTGATTTGTTAAAATTATGTGGAAGGGTGCTATCAAAGGGAAGATATCCTCAACTTTAATGTCCAACTTCCATTCATAATTCGATTGTAGGAGCAATACAAAAGAATCAGAATATGTAAGTATTTTTTTATGACAGTGGTGTCTACGACCAAGTCACGCACATTGACTAGTCCACCAAGTAACTGTTACTTCCACAACTATAGGTATTAGATAACTTTGTCAACCAAGGCTTACAACATAGGAACGTGAACATTGGAAGAAATCACCTGGCAGCCTTTATCGTCTTTGCTGGGATTTGAACCAGTATCTCATGGTCCATTCTAGTTTCATCGACTGCATGGCCACATCCCTTGGGTGCAAAACCTGAAATATGCAAAATTAGTTGCGTGGTGTCTTGGCAACATATCATCGAACGTGCTTTCCAAGTATTGTCATATTTGTCTCAAAAAGAAAAGAAATGGCTATAGTCAACTCGTTTTGTTTTTTCTTATTTGATACCTATCCTTGGTGACTTGGTCTATCGGAAACAGTCTCTCTGCCCTTCCAGGGTAGGGGTAGGGGTAAGGCTATCCTACCCTCCCCAGACCCCACTTTTTGGATTACACTAGGTTGTTGTTGTTGTTGATACCTATCCTTGGTCGTTTTCTTTTAGGATACATATCCTGTTACGGCTTTGGATGTTTTGCTCCATGGATTAATAAACTGCCTTAACAACTCTATGGCGGTGAATTATCTGGAATTACTTCTTTAAACCCTGTTCTACTTCATAATATTTATTATGGTGGTTTGCGGCGAGAATCTGAAACTATTTTGTGAAACTGCAGGCCATGTAAAGGAGAAACCAAATGGAGAAATAGCAAGGAAGCAACACATGAAGTCCTCCCAATTTAGTTTAATTTTGTATCCTGTAGCTGTTGGACATCTCTGACGTCTTATTCTGAACCTCCTTATTGGTCTGAGTTAACAGCATTCAAATTGCCTTTCTCACTTCCCACCCTCTCCCTGCACCCCTCATGTTGAAATTTTGAACACTTCCTTTCAGGTCAAAGCACTTATTTCTTGGCTATACTTTTCTGGTGCGTTTAGTACAGAGTTAAATTTTTTCTATGAACAATGTTTTCATGAAAGATGTTTTATTATGAAGAATAATTTAGAATGAAGAGTGAGGGTATTGTTTTGACGGATAACGTGGCCTGTAGGCTAGCTCGTCGTAATAAAATGATATATTAAACGAGCAATTCACATCACAGGGTACATATATCATATGAACAAAAACTTTCAAATTTCTCATTTATTTTGGCTTGTAAAATAATAAGAAATTCGTTTGAAAATAATTAGACCATTAAGCAACTCTACAAATAGATATAGGCGTAGAATAAATAGGGCGAAGGACGGTCTCTACTTTTTCTAGTTTGTGAGGTTTTTCATAAATTAATTTCTCAATTCGTGTTGTTTGAGGCCTGTAATTCTAATGGTCAGTGGACCATTTATTCGCCCGATAGTATTCCAAAGAAAAAACTCGCCCGAAAGTTGTGATAAATACATCACCTAAGAATTAAAACAAAAACAATGGTGATTTTGGTATCTTTTGTCTCTTAGCTTCCTCATTGTGTCTGCTAAACAATCTGTTCAGACATAACTGAAGGAAAGAAAAATTTCAACTTTGTCTCTCATGTTCTCTGGCAAGTAATTAGGCTAACTAGCAACACCCTTTTTTTTAGCGCTATAGCCTGTTTGGCCAAGCTTTTTCACGCCAAAAGCACTTTTTTTCTAAGGTTGAAGTATTTGGTCAAGCTTTTAGAGAAAAAAATGCTTGAGTAGAAGCATAAGCAGTTTTGGAGAAGCAGAAAAAAGTAGCTTGCACTTTTAAGATTAATACGTCTGAATCTGAATACACATCTGAATATCAAGATGTGTATTAAGATTAAGACATTCGAATCTGAATACACATCTGAATATATTAAGATGTGTATTAATATATGAATACTAAAATTAAGACTGTTTGATTTTTAACATCTGAATGCATAAAATTTATCTTTATTTGAAAAATAATAAACATAAAATTCAAATGAAATACTAACCAATCTAATATTCTATCAATAAAATATATAGTTTTTTAAAATATGATAGTTATTGGTGGTGATGGCTAACGGGTGAATGCCGATTAGAGGCGGTGGTTGGTGGTAGTTTTGATTGATGATGGTGGTTCATGCTAGTAGCTAGTAGTGATTGATAGTGGTGGCGATTATGATTGAGGATGGTGGTGGTGGATGGTGATTGTTAATCATGGCGGGCGATGGTTTGTGATTGAGGAATGTGGTGGTAGGTTATAATGATGGGCGGTGCCGACGGTGGTTGTTATTGGTGATGGAGTGGTTGGTTGTGGTAGTTGAGGTGGATAAGTGTTGACTGTGGGTGAGAATGATGGTGGTTGGAGTGGTGAGGATGGTGGATGGTGATGGTCGACAATGTGGCGACTATGATTGAGGATGATAGTGGTGGTGGTGGTTGACTATGGTGGCGGTGGTGGTGGTTGACTATGGTGGCGGTGGTGGTGGTTGAATATGGTGGTGGTGGTGGCGTGGTTGTAGTTGATAATGGTAGGCAGTTGCGGTAGGTAATAATGAATATGTAATAGCACCGTAATGAAATTAAGTCTCTGTTATAGATCTTAATCATACAGACCTATTCAGACCCATTAAGTGGTTGTGAAGTAAAAAAAAAAACACACTTAATGATTAAGATCTAAATAATTAAGATTCAGACTTTAAAAACAAATGCACTTAATGTCTGAGATCTGAATGATTAAGATTCAGACCTCCATTAAGTGCAAACAAATGAGGCCTTAGAAGTACTTATTAAAAACTTGGCCAAACACTAATTGCTACTCAGAAGTGTTTTTCAAATAAATTAGCTAAACACAAATTGATTCTTATCAAAAGTACTTTTGAAAAAAGCACTTTTGAGAAAAAACAATTCTCAAAATAAGCTGATTTTTACAGTTTGGCCAAACAGGCTATTAAACTAAACTGTACTACTATTCTATCAGACTAAAAACAGGAAAACAACTAAACAAGGAACTTGCTTGAGAACTCTGCCCTGGCTAGCTTCTTCGTTCAAATTTCCAAGTTCCACCAGGATACAATACGATTACTGTAAGGACTCATTTTGCGCCGGCAGCATGTTATAGAGAAGACCGCAGTTTCTACAACATATATCCCTAAAATATCAATTATCGCGACAAAAGAGCCTACAAATGCACCATGATTTATATATATTTATGGGTCCGAGCCGTGGAATCAGCCAGAATACTTGTATTAGATTATGCTGCGTACTTTACATCCTTTGGGGTGCGGTCATTTCTCAGACCCTATTTAAATGCGGAATGCTTCGTGCACTGAGCTGTCCTTTTATACATATGTATTTGTGAAGATTAGGGTTTTGAATATCCCTAAAATGGCTTTCAACACTCGTTTAGGCATTTTGAATTTTTGGTGATATCTTTTGATTTGACAGATATCCCAACAACTTTCATGCATTTGATCAACAGTGTATTCCATCCTTATTTGGATTCTTTTATTATTGTATTCATTGATGATATCTTGGTATACAAGATATTCCCATAGTAGGACGGAGTACGAGCAACATTTGAGGATTGTACTTCAAATTCTTAATTTGTGACGG